GGGGTGACTAGTGACAGAGTGAGGGGGTGACAGAGTGAGGGAAGGGGATGACTGGTGACAGAGTGAGGGAGGGGATGACTGGTGACAGAGTGAGGGAGGGGGTGACTAGTGACAGAAGGAGGGAGGGAGTAGTGACAGAGGGAGGTGGTGACTAGTGACAGAATGAGGGAGGTGGTGACTAGTGACAGTGTGTCACTAGTCACCCCTTCCTTCCCTCACTCTGCCACTAGTCACCCCTTCCTTCCCTCACTCTGCCACTAGTCACCCCTTCCTTCCCTCACTCTGTCACTAGTCACCCCCTCACTCTGTCACTAGTCACCCCCTCACTCTAGTGACAGAGTGAGCGAGGGTGTGACTAGTGACAGAGAGAGGGAGTGGGTGACTAGTGACAGAGTGAGGGAGGGTGTGACTAGTGACAGAGAGAGGGAGGGGGTGACTAGTGACAGAGGGAGGGGAGGGGGTGACTAGTGACAGAGTGAGGGAGGTGGTGATTAGTGACAGAGGGAGGGATGGGGTGACTAGTGACAGTCACTACCTCCTTCACTGTGTCACCCCCTCTCTCGCTCTGTCTCTAGTCACCCCCTCTCTCTGTCACCAGTCATCCCTTCCTTCCCTCACTTTGCCACTAGTCATCCCTTCCCTCACTCTGTCACCAGTCATCCCCTCACTCTGTCACCAGTCACCCCTTCCTTCCTTCACAGTGACAGAGTTAGGGAGGGAGTGACTAGTGACAGAGAGAGGGATGGGGTGACTAGTGACAGAGTGAGGAAGGGGGTGACTAGGGACAGGGGGGTGATTAGTGACAGAGTGAGGGAGGGGGTGACACAGTGATAGAGTTAGGGATGGAGTAACTAGTGACAGAGAGAGGGATGGGGTGACTAGTGACAGTCACCCCCTCCCTCACTCTGTCACTAGTCACCCCCTCTCTCCCTCTCACTCTATCACTAGTCACCCCCTTCCTCACTCTGTCACTAGTCACCCCCTCTCTCACTCTGTCACTAATGACAGAGTGAGAGAGGGGGTGATTAGTGACAGAGTGAGGGAGGGGGTGACTAGTGACAGAGTGAGGGAGCGGGTGACACAGTGACAGTTAGGGAGGGAGTGACTAGTGACAGAGAGAGGGATGGGGTGACTAGTGACAGTCACCCCCTCCCTCACTCTGTCACTAGTCACTCCCTCTGTCACTAGTCACCCCCTCTCTCACTCTGTCATTAGTCACCCCCTCTCTCACTCTGTCACCAGTCATCCCTTCCTTCCCTCACTCTGCCACTAGTCATCCCTTCCCTCACTCTGTCACCAGTCACCCCTTCCTTCCTTCACAGTGACAGAGTTAGGGAGGGAGTGACTAGTGACAGAGAGAGGGATGGGGTGACTAGTGACAGAGAGAGGGATGGGGTGACTAGTGACAGAGTGAGGAAGGGGGTGACTAGGGACAGAGGGGGTGATTAGTGACAGAGTGAGGGAGGGTGTGACACAGTTACAGAGTTAGGGAGGGAGTGACTAGTGACAGAGAGAGGGATGGGGTGACTAGTGACAGTCACTCCCCCTCACTCTATCACCAGTCATCCCCTCACTCTGTCACTAGTCACCCCTTCCCTCCCTCACTTTGCCACTAGTCATCTATTCCCTCCCTCCCTCTGTCACTAGTCACCCACTCCCTCACTCTGTCACTAGTCACCCCCTCTCCCTCCCTATGTCACTGGTCACCCACTCCCTCACTCTGTCACCAGTCACCCCCACTCACTCTGCCACCACTCAACCCCTCCCTCCCTCACTCTGCCACCAGGTACCCCCTCACTCTGCCACCTGTCACAACCTCCCACACTCTTCCACCTGTTACCTTCTCCCTCACACACTCTGTCACCTGTCACATATGAATTCACACAGACACTATATACAAAAAAGCACATTTAGTCATCCAGACATGCACAAGTGCATTCATACAGACTCAAATACAAACATGCATTGATACACAGGTCTTCACAATATACACATCCAAAGGAATGCCGTATTATGAATTATATTTAACATTTATTTAATGCACATATATTTGGCCTTCAAAGGGCCTGGGATCTAATTTTGCCCGGGGGCCCCAAAGGCTCTCAGTCCGCCCCTGGGCCTGAGAGCTGCTAAGCTAGACGGAATCTACCTGAATAGACTTCCAGATAGTAATATAGTGGTGAGTGAGATAGCATACACCTAGCTGTAACACAGACCACCAAATATGGGCATGCTGCTCAGTTAGATTATATTTACCTAGTTGTGAGACATCTCCAGGTTGGTATCTGGTTATGTGTTAGAATGAATACAACCTAATGGTTAGACAGGTAGAGATACATTGAAGAAACCTAGATGAAAAGTACCTAAAATGCAACTTTACCTAGAGGTACAGGGTAGGGGTATGGTGCATAGTTAGAGTGCATATACCTAGTTGTGATTTAGACCTGCAGTTAAACAAACAATTCTTTTAGGTTACATACACCTATCTGTCAGACCAGACTGAACTGCACAAGATAACTATAGTTATGTAATCAGACAGCACTGAACATACTTAAACAAGTTTAAACAAGTTTATATCAAAGGTTTGTAATCAAAATATAATTAGGGCAAAGTCGCCAAGGTGAACTCTAGCTAACATAACCACAAAACAGATCAGGTTCTCAGCTAGGAAAACTGCGCATGAGCTATGGCACTCTGCCAAACTAGTTATTCTATAGCATCTTAACTGGTATGCAACGACTTGAGAATGAAGGAAAATAAAACCACTGTGCTCGAAAAAGAATGCCTTAAAGTGAAAATCTGCTTTAGGTCAATATCTCCAAAAAATATCTCCACAGAGTTAATGAGAAGTCCCAACAAAAAATGAAAACATTAAATATATCCATGAATGCTAAATTCCTCCCCACTCACCTGGAGAGCACCTAGTTGGTGTTAAAGTGATTTTCAATTGTTACCAATTATAACATTTATTATTATTATTATTATCATTATTATTATTATTATTATTATTATCATTTATAGAGCATCAATATTTTCTGCAGCTTTTTCAAATGACAAAATGGCGATATTTGACAATAAGTTATTTACGTACAGAATATCACAGAGACAAGAGGTGAAGAAGGCCTTATTCAAACGAGTTTACAATCCATGATGCATATGAGTAACTTGTGAATTTTCCATCATGCCTGAGTGTTCAAAACTTAAATGCCAAGATGTTTAAAACCACAAACCTTTAGATGTGTTGCCAGAAGGGCAAAGCACCATGAAAGTTGTCATGTTTAATAACTTGGATGTCTACATTTCGGACACCCCTGTGCAAATGCAAATTGCTATCTACCAACTGTATATTCGGTTAAAAATTGACTTATGCAAAATAACATAATACAAGCTCTTTGTTCCTAATTTCAAATCCATGAAACATAACCACAAAGCAGACAGTTTCTGCCATCCTTGGAAAACATGCCTTGCACAAAGTTTGGAAACTCATGGTGAATATATATATATATAAACAGTTATTCTGTGAGCTTAGAAAGAAACAGAAAAAAATATCTAATTTAGAAGTGACACAATCTTACGATACCAAAACAGAGTTTAAGAGGATGACTGAGAATGGACAACAACTCAAACGGTTTGCCCTTGTTTATGAGGTACAGCAAAAACAGGATTTTTTGGGGCCTGCATTGTCTAATCAGTGACATCCCTAATGTAAAAGAGTAATGTAATAAGGCCTCTTGCTTACTGTGCCTACAGGGGTATCAGCCACATCTCACTGAGGCCCATCATGGCTGAAATAAAATGTATGCTATTGTTTTATCTCTCATAGAGAGAGATTATACCCGCGTTTTGGATTGGGACTTACCTACAGGGTGGGGTCTGCCTGATATGTAAATGTTTTTTGGTTTTTTTTAAATGAAATGACACAAGTTCAGCTAACACACTAAATGTTGTGCAATTAAAAGTTTCTGTTGTGCTCTATTTTGGTTTAATAGTAATAAAATATAAACTGAATTCTTTGTAGTAGTTTATGAAATGCCGACAGTGCTCTCTACTAGGTGGACTAACAAACAAGTAGTTACAACAAGACAATTTGGAAATAAAAGAGCTAAAGGTGGCAAGGGCCCTGTTCTAATGAGTAATCAATCACAGTGCTCTCCTAGGTAATGAATAATCAATGTGCTCTCGTTGTGGGTTTAAGGATATTTGCACATGTATTTATAGCTTGTTCTGTTATATGTATTTTGGAGGAATTACCTTATTCCCTTTTGGAGTAATTTCTTAATGTTCTCATTACTACAGTATTTGTTAATTGTTTGCACATATTAATTACATTTATTAAGACTCTTTCTTATTAACAATACAATGTTTATGCATATCTCCTTTGGAATAAGCAATTTTAATGTCCTTGACTCATAGGGTTTCATGTATGCAGCACATGTCTGGTTTATGCTCTAATGGTAATTTGCTACTGAAAATTCCTGGCTGACTTTTAGCTGATGAGATTGCTTATTCCTGTTTAGTAAGACTGTCTGCAGAGGAAAGTATTTGCACATTTACGTCTGTTAAGGAATCCACGTGTAAATGATGATCAGTATCTACTTTTTTATGTAGTTTATGAAATTTCCACATTTCATGTTCTGTAGTTTTATAATCAGAATGACCATCTCCCTACCTCACTATATCACCCAAATCACATAGGCGTTTTGGTTGCACAGTCGTCTTCTGTGGGAACTTATCAACAGAGGCAGGACAATGCATTAAATAAAGGCGTAGTATTGTTAATGCTAGTAAATGTGTATAAATAGTGGGGGGAAATTGATGAATACCAATATATAATAGTTAACACCTAAAACATCTAAAAACTGCTTAAACAATCCTGTAAAATGCAGGTTTGTTGATATTGTGTTATTTTGTTTAGATTTAAGCATCAAAGGCTTATTCCAAGCATCATAACCACTACAATCTGCCGTAGGATTACCATGCCACCATTTTACAGTAGTTAGCACTCTTGCCTGATCCTGCTGGGCACCTGGTTTCCTATGAGACAGGGTTTATGACATCGATTTCTGCCAACTCTCAGCCACTGAATCAGTGCCTATGCATGAAAATCTGCACTGAATTGACATTAGCCAGCTCGGACATCTTGTTCCAGGCTGGATGATGACACCCCACGATGCTGCCAGATGTGGAATTACAACTAAACTTGAAATGTGTAGTATTTCACAGCAAAAAAAAGCTTCACATATAGACTCCAGTCTACATGACCACTTCAGATAATTAAAATGGTCATGATGCCTGGAGTAACCTTTTAAGAGAAATATGACAACTTTAGTAACTATTGCAAATCTTTTTCTGAACTCAATTGAGTTTCTAAAATGAGATTAGAAACTGGTGGTTTATAGGTAAAAATTAAATCCATGCACGTTAACTTCCATTAAAATAAATGAATGAGTAGCACTCTTGTGGAAAAAAAGATAGCCTCTTCGGGTTTAATTAGATTCTACTCATGAGTTTTACTAATCAGAGAATAAGGAGCACCAAGCTGGTCTATTGATGTAAGGAAGCACTGATGTACAGAACCAGATTACCCAGTAGACAATCAAGGAGGCTACCCAGGACCCAGGATCAGTCAGAACCTGATGGGCAGCTGTCTGTGCCTGGATCTTCGGCTCCTAAACAGATCTCCCTGCATAATCCTTCATTGTGGTCTGTACTGATATCAAGTACAGACCACTTGAAAAGCACCCTTGTGCTACCTGCCTCTTCTTAATGACTCAGCAACACTGCCGGTATTGGTACAGATGATGGAACTCTCCCACTAGACCACCAGGAATCCAGTTTACTCTCCACTGGACCACAAGGGGTGACGGACATAAACACTCAACAGTCACACTCAGACTCTCTGCCACCGTTTGGATTCCATCAGTTACTCTGCATGTGAAACATATAGTTCTGCTCAGGGCCGGCCTTAGGCAATTAGGCGCCCTGTGCAAAAAGTCTTCACGGCGCCCCCCCCCACCTCCCACCAAGTTGCCTGAATACAGTAACACACACAGGCACCGGGGACGTGTGTATCACGAGGCAAACAAGGCATCTGCCTTGGGCGCCACTTTGCAGGGGGCGGCAAAAAAAAGCATCCCTCCAAACCCCCAGGCAGATCCCTTGCTTGCCTCGCATCCTGGGGGGCTCAAGAGCTGACCGGCTGGCCACTTTTGAGCCCCCCCAAGGCTGGCAGCGGGCAGCGAAGGAGCATACTCACCTGAGCTCTTCCTGCTCAGCTTCCTCTGCGCCGCTTAATGAAGCCGGGAGCCAGAATATGACGTCAGTCCGGCTCCCGGCATCACTAAGCGCTGCTTACTCAGCCTGTGCGCCCCCTGCCTGCCTGCCCAGCAGCCACACTGGACTGCTGGTAAGAAATCCACTCCAGCTTTCCCAGGGAGGCTGGGTGGATTTAAAATAAATGTAAAAAATATTAGTTTGTGAGTGTTAGTGGAAATGTCTGTGTGTGTGTCTGTGAGTGTTTATTTTGAAGTGAATGTGTGTGTGTGTGTGTGTGTGTGTCTGTAAGTGTGTAATTGTGTGTGTCTGTGAGTGAATGTGTGTGTTGGTCAGTGAGTGTATGTGTCAGTCAGCGAGTGTGTATGTGTCGTCAGTGAGTGTGTATGTGTCGTCAGTGAGTGTGTATGTGTCGTCAGTGAGTGTGTATGTGTGGTCAGTGAGTGTGTATGTGTGGTCAGTG